GGGGCTGGTGGTAGAGACAAATGTTTTTAATCCTAGCTCTCAGGGCAGAGGCAGGTGGATCTAAGTGAGTTTTGAGGGCAGCCTTATGTCAGGGCTGTCTATAGAGATCTTGTCTCAAAAAGCAAGCAAACAAACAAACAAACAAAAAAAAAACCTCAAAAAACAAAAGAGAGAAACGAGAAAGAAAGAAAAAGCTGGATATTGGTGGTGTCTTAACTTGCTTTCTAAATCACTGACTGTATTAGGTGGGTTCTTTAAAGGAAGAGAATGATAGTATGAATATTTACATGTGTGATTGATTGGAGTGGCTTTCACTGTGATCCACCTAGTCCACAATATCAGACTCCTGATAGAAAGGCCAGGAATCTGGCAGTTGTTCAGTCCACAAGGCTGGATGCCTCAGCCAGTCTTCAGTCTGTCTTGGGATCCCAAAGAAGTAGGTTCTAATATTATCAAAATAATGCCTTGGTGACAGGATTAATGAATTTGCCAGTCAGTGAGGGCAAGCAGGCAAAAAGCCAAAACTTCCTTCTTTGATTTCCTTTTATGTGGGCGACTACCAGGTCCAGATTTAGGGTGGGTCTTCTCACCTCAAATGCTCCAATCAAGAAAATCCTTCACAGGAGTTCCCCACTACTTAGTAGTGTTTAGTTGATTACAGATGTTGCCAGGCTGACAACAAAGATTAACCATCACATAACCAAAAGAAACTTGGAGAGGAAAGGGTTTGTTTCAGTTTACTACTCCCAGGCCATAGTCTATCACTCAGAGAAGTCAGAGCAGGAACTCACAGCAGAAGCTAAAGCAGAGAACATGCAGAAATGCTGCTTACTAGCTTGCTCCACCGTGGCTTGCTTATGCCTGCTTTCTTACAACACTCAGAACCGCCTGCCCAGAAGTGGCACTGTCCCAGTGGGCTGGGCCCTTCCACATCAGCTATTAATGATGAAAATGCCACCATAGATTTGCTTACAGGCCAGTCTGATGGAGGCACTTTCTTAGTTGAGGTTCCTCTTTCAAGTTAAAAAAAAAAAAGACTAAGGAGCCTAGGTGGTGTGATTACTTTGAATAGCTATTGCTACATTTTGATTTTTAGAATTAACATATATTTTTTTATTTCCAATTTTACTTTTGTATCATGTACTGCTTTCTGCTTCTTGCCCAAGGACACAATGTGATCAGCTACCTCCAATCCCTACCACCATCCTTCTCTATCATACTGACTTGCCCTCGGATTGTGAGGCCAAACAAACCCTTACTTACTTACTTAGTTTACTTTGCTCTTTTTAGTTTGCTTGGTGTGTGTGTGTGTGTGTGTGTGTGTGTGTGTGTGTGTGTGTGTTTTGTTTTGAGGCAGGGTTTCTCTGGATTGCTTTGGGACCTGTCCTGGAACTTGCTCTGTAGATCAGGCTGGCCTTGAACTCACAGAGATTCACCTGCCTCTGCCTCCCAAGTGCTTGGACTAAAGGTATGAGCCACCAATGCCTGGCTCCTTACTTTGCTATTTTGTTTGTTTTGAGACACAGTCTCACTATGTAGACCTGGCTGACCTGAAACTTGCTGTATAGGCCAGGCTGGCCTTGAACTCTCATCTATACTCTTGCCTCTGCCTTCTGAATGTTGGGCTTGAAGGCATGTACCTCCACACCTGGCTTTAAGTTGATTTATTACATGTTTTGTTCCAAGCTTTAAGTAGCTTTTAAAAAAGAGTTTATTTATTTTATGTGTATGAGTTTTGTTTACATGTATGTGTGTGCATTATGTGCATGCCTAGTGTTAGTGGAGTCCAGACTGCTGAATGCTGGGATTGCAGGCATATCCCAATATGCTCAGTTTTATGCAGTGCTGGGAATTAAACCCAGGACTTTGTGTGTGCTAGGCAAGCCCTCTCCAAAACTCAGCTGCATCCCTAGCCAGTACCTCATCCCTAGTCATACCAGATATACTCTGTAGTCATGTTTCATTGTTCTTTGTTACATCTATCTGTTAAATTACAGAGCATCTTTTTCTTTAATTCCTTGTCAAGACGGGATGTTTGTTGTAACAGAATTAAGGTTTCTTTAATATTACCTTTGAACTAGTTTATTGACTTTGGTGTTGGTGACTTGGGTGTGGGTGATACCTTAGCTGAACAGGTGAGTCCTCAGCAAGAAGATGTAGCTTCTGCTGTAGGCGCTCCCTGGTCTAGTCAGCTTTTTCATCCCTTGTGGGAGTAATAGCTATTTTCCTCATCACTGAAAAAATTTCTGTGAGTTATGCTGCTTCTTTGTGGTTGTGAGGCTAGAAGTTGCCAAATGTTTTCTCATGTCATACAGTGGACACAGATGCATGGTCCTGGCTAATGTGAAGGATAGCTAGCAGTAGTGTCTCTATTTAAAGAGCTAAAAGATTTGAGAAAAAGGAGAATGAGAGCTAGGTAATCAGGCCCAAGGTAGATAATAGTTCATGGGGACTGACTGGGTTTGAGTCCTGGTTCCATCATGTAATAGCTGTGGACTTTGGGATGTTAACCTCTTTTGACCTCATTATTATACTGGCATAGTACTCATACTTACATCATAGGGTTGTTTGGAGAATTAAATGAGGCGAGGCTTGTAGAGTTATTGACACAGAGTAACTAATAAATATCATTGCCAATATGAAAAGTGGTCAGAAATGGATTCCATGTTCCATTTGTCATGATGTCAGTATATTCATCCTCTGTCCTAAAAACATAGTTTTTGAAATAGAATGCTTAAGATAGTGAATCCATCTTATGTGGTAGACAATGCATCTTTTCTCAACAACTGTTACTCAACACTGTCTTCAAATTGAGAAAATAAGATATGAGTAACATGATTATATTAGATACGCTGGTTTTAGATAGCTCATACGATATGTAAATAAATCATCAGTGACTCGATGCTAACTAGGTTTTTGAATAATTGTGGGTTTGGCTCTAAGATAAAGAATATCTGATTGATCATGCAGAGATTTTTACTAGAACTCTGACGTTCATAGGCTTTAATTGGTATCTATGTTGTAGAATCTGTAGTTGTAAATGTGCAAGATGAAGGATCCCTGAAATCTTCTTAGAGAGGTTTGTTAACTATGTAGTTTATCTTTGTTTTTATATTACCTGTAACTGATATATTTCACACTTAAAACTTGGAGTAGATTATGGCTTTGACTTACCAGGGGAGGAATTTTGGGGGAGTACATAGTAATGAAAACTTTTTCTTCATTTTTTAATAGGTTATTTGGCTGTTTCTTTATTTCTACATGAAAGTCATGAACTTTTGCTTCTCCTTGTGAATACAGTGGTAAAGGTACCGTATCATATTGTATGCTGGTTAATATGAAGTCTTATTTCTGCTGTCATAGGACATTTCTCTTTAATCATAGTTACTTACGTTTTGAAAGTGTAGGTTTACTTATGGAATTGCCTTAGAAAGATATCTTTTAAAGGCTTATGTTTTACATTATAGGTGTAGGGGCAGATACCTGTGGGGGTCAGGAGAGGGTGCTAGATCCCTTGGAGCAGGAGTTATAGGCAGTTATGAGCTGCCTAGCATAGGCACTAGGACTTAAACTCCAGTCCTCTGCAGGAACTACTGTTGAGCCACTTCTTTAGCATCTAGAAGGGTTTTTTCATGTTTGTTTGTTTTTAAAGCTATGGTTGATTTGGAGCTCACTATGTAGACCAGGCTGACACCAGACACAGAGATCTGCTTGTCTTTGCCTACCGAGGGCCTAGCTGTTTATTTTTGGCATTGAACTTCTGATCCTCCTGGATCCACCCCTCCTAAGTAAGGAGATTGCAGTGTGCACCGTTACAACTGGTTTATGACATTATGGAAACTGAACCCCTGCCCACTTTCTTTCTGAAACAGGATCTCTTGTATCTCAGACTGGCCTCAAACTTACTTTGTAGCTGAAGATGGCATTGAACTCCTGACCCTCCTACCTGTACCTCCCCAGGGGAGTAGGGATATAGGCATATGCTGCCTGACTTACGGCATTTTCATACAAGTATGCTGAGCATGAAAGGGTTTATCATATCAGTCTTTGAGTTTTCTGGTGGAGTCTTTAGGTTTAATTATGGGTAGGATCCTATCTGTAAATAAGGATACTAGGATTTCTTCCTTTTGTGTTTCTGTCTTTTCTTATTGTTTTGAGTTTTTCTACCTTTAGTATAATGTTGGCTGTAAGTTTGCCATATATAGTCTTTATCATATTCCTTCAATTTCTAGTCTCTTTAAGACTTTTATCATGAAGAGATGTTGGATTTTGTCAGAATCCTTTTTTTTTTATTTAGAGGATCTTGTGATCTCTGCCTTGTGTCCATTTATATGATGTAGTAAATATTAATTTGCATATTTTGAACCATCCTGCACCTCTGGGATGAAACTGATTTGATTATGGTGCATGATCTTTTGATTTCTTCTTGAATTTGGTGTATTAGGTTTTGTGTGTTTATTTTAGACATGGTCTCACCATGTTTCCCTGACTGGCCTGGTCACAAAGTTCTGCCTGCTTCTTCCTCCTGAGTGTTGGGTTCAAGTGTTCTCTACCATGCTTGGCAGTTTACAGGTGTTTTATTAAGAATTTTGACATCTATATTCATCAGAGGAATTAGTCTTTAATATCTTTTGATGTCCTGATTAGGTTCATAAAGAGATTTTGGCAGCATATTCCTTTTTCTCTTTTATGAAATAATTTGAGAAAGTTTAGTCCTACATAGTTGTTAAAGGTCTGGTAGAGTTTTTCTTCTCTATGACTCCTTCTGAACTCAGAGATCCACCTGCCTCTGCCTCCCAAGTGCTGGGACTAAAGCCATGTGTCAGCACACCCAACTGTGTGGATTTCTATTTTTTTTTTTTAGTTAGATTTTATTCATTACTGCTTCAGTTCTATTGCTTGTTGTACATATATTTAAATTATTTCACCTTTATCTAATTTTGGTAAGTATGAATCTAGAAATTTATTTATTTTATATTTCTCAATTTAGTATAATATAATTTTTTTAGAGATTACTGTGATTTTTATTCAATTTGAAATCCTGATTAAAATAAAAGCAGTGAGAATGAAGCTTTACAAATAGTGCAAAAATTAGTACACCACTGATACAGATTTTACACTGACTGGGTATAGAAAGAAAAAAGAATAACATTAGAATTAAGGCAGTAACATGTGCAAACCAAGCACCTTACCCTGACACAGTCCTTAGTAAAAAGCTACTCTGGTTAGGTGGTATTGACATTGCTGCATGCAGGTCTCATTGCTTGCAAGGATGAACTCTGAAGAGCTTCATTCATTACAGAAACAAACAAAACAAAGACCACTCTCACTGGCCAACAATGGCCAGAAGCAGCTTTCTGTAGTCCCCACTCGTGTCACCAGCAGTCACTGTGCTCAGGGTCTTCTGATACATCTGAGTGAACATCTGCTTTATCTGAACAAGGTCAATCTCACTTCGAGTGACCACAATCCTGACCAGGGTGGAGTCATCTGTGCCAGCGCCCTTCATGGAATAGTAGAGTCTCTCAGCAAAGAAGGTGGGGCGGTTTAGGGTGCACTGCAAGATGGTCTTCAAACCACTTTCAATATATCCAGAGAACTCTCGGCTTACACTGCTTAACAGATCTCGATTAGCCATCCTGGAATAAGCCTCCATAGTGGCTTTCAGCTGAGGGAAACTTCTGGTGGCAAGGATCATGTTGAAGCAGGACTCATCTGTCCCTAGCTTCCCCTCACCAGCCTGATAGAGGCGCTGGGCATCGTCCTGAGCCATCTGGTGGTTTACACTCTGGTTCTCATCACGGTTTCCCTGGCACATGGACACAAGGAGACGTTCAAAATGTCCTGAGGTATCTGACTTGTCCTTTTCAAGGTCTCGTCCAAATTCTGATTGATAACATCTAACAATGTCTCGAATTTCTTGATTTGTTCTTGTGCATAAAATCTCTATCAATACACATTCTTGAGTTCCTGCTCCCTGTATTGCTTTCCGTAAACTCCAGGCATCATAGTATGTAGGAGGCATGAACAGGGCAGGGATCAGTTCTTCCATATTTCCACTCAATTCTGACTTGAGATCTTTAATTAAATCCTTGCCATACATGGTCTTAAAGGCTGCTTTAATTTGTTGCCTCTGGTCATTGGAACAACTAGACACAACGTCCACAATTGCTTGCTCATCAGTCCCAAACCCCTTCATTGCTTTGCGGAGAATTTCTGCATCTCTCATAGCATCAAAGTTGGAGGCTGGTCGGATTGTTCCTTGGGTGCCCTGAGTCATCGCAGCAGGCTGGCTAGGGTAAGGAGCTTGTCTTCCAGAGTACTGAGAAGGCATCTTCCCTCCAGAAAAGCCACCTGGTACTGGAACCTGGGCTGGTCCACCACCATAAGACTGCAGGTGGCTGTGGATAGCCAGAAAAGCCTGCTCCACCAGGTGGGGCTCCAAAGCCTTGTCCTCCTGGATAGGCTGGAGCACCCCCTGGATGTGGGGTAACAGGATAGCCCCCAGGGGCTGGATAACCTCCAGGTGTAGGGTAACCTCCAGCTCCTGGGTAGCTGCCACTTGGTGCTGGTGGGTAAGCACCTCCTCCCATTGGTGGAAAGCCACTGGGATATGGATACTGACCTGGAGGGGGAAAAGATAACTCCTGGCCTGCAGGAGGATATCCAGGGAAAGGTGGGTAGCCTGTAGGGGGATAGCCTGGGTATGACATTCTGAACGAGGGAGCAGCATCACCGTCTGGCCTGCTTTAGCGCAATATGGAGCCAGGGGCTAGTATAATATAAAATTTTAAAACATATTCTAATGATTTTTCTTTTGTATTTTGTTGGTGTCTATCAAAATGTCTCTCTTTTCATCTCTAATTTTATTAATTTGGGTCCACTTTCTCTTTGGTTGTTTTGCGTAAGTGTTGTTCTTATTTACCCTTTCAAAGAACCAGATGTTCCATTGACTCTTTGGGGATTTTTTTTTTTTTTTCATTAATTTCTGTCCTTACCTAATTTTTTCCTACCTATCGCTTTTAGATTTGGCTGTTCTTGTTTAGCCAAGACCCTAAGATATATCTTTATATTATTTTTGCATTTTCTCTGATTTTTTAAAAAAATTTCAATTTCATCTATTATTACTATTATTACTACTACTACTTGTATGTGTGCATCTGCCACAAAGTGCATGTACCATATGAAAGTCAGCAGGCAACACTTTGAGGAGTTGGTTCTTTTCACTGTGGGGTTCAGGGGTTGAACTAAGGTAATCAAGCTTATGAAGCATATACTTTACATGCGGAGCAAGGTTGTTCCTTTCTTCAACTCTTCTGACTAATTTTAGCTTAAGGTCTGTTTTGCCAGTTAGTAGGACTTTAACACCTGCTGGTTTCCTAATTTCATGTCCTTGGATACTCTTTTCCATCCTTTCATCCTAAGGCTGTCTGTCTTTGACTGTGAGGTGCATGTGTCCAGGCAACAAACAGATGCATACTGGGGGTTGTTGTTGTTGTTTGTTTTTTTTAATGCAGTATGGCATTCTGTGTCTTTTAATTGGTGAAATGAGTAAATGCAGTTAGTATGCATAGTTATTGTTGTAAGATGTCTATTAATTTCTGCCATTTTGTTGGTTTTGTAGTGTTGGGTGTTTTCTTGATTCTCCTTTACTTAACTAATGTTTTTGTGTGGTTTATTTTTCCTGGGCTTCACGAGTATGTTCATCTTTCTTTTCAGTCTGAAAGATTTCTTCAAGTATCTTCTGTAGACTTGACTGAGTGGGCCCTCCCACAAATGACTTGATGGATTTTGGTGATCTCTCATGGAGGGCCTTACCTTCTCTGGGGAGTGGAGGAGTGTGGGGGGATATGGGAGGAAGGGAGGGAGCGGGAACTAGGATTAATATGTAAAATGAGAAAAAATATTAAATAATAATTAAAAAAATAAATCTCATGCAACCCCCTGAAAAAAGAATTGACTTAGTGTTCTTTTTAATTTCTTCAGCCTTTTCCAAAAGATTTTTATTGATGCGTATTATTTGTAGGTAATAGTGGGTTTCATTATGGCATCTTTATACCTGTAGACAATGCAGTTTGGTCATGCTCACTCTGTGGTCCCCTCTAGTCCTCATGGTCTCCCAGCTGTCCCCCCTACTATGTTCATGTCTTTTCCTTGCGTGACCTAATGAGTTTCACTAGTGTTATTTACAGGAGAGTAGGTCAAGACTTATTAACAGGTGCATGGGCACCTTACTGGTGGCTGGCTATACTGCAGAAGAAAATATCTACCCTGCCTCCATCAGACAGCTGTGTATACATCCTCAGGAGGACTGGAGCCCAGGAGCTCTTTTCTCTTCCAGGACAGGGTGTTGGTGGCCCAGTCTTGTGCAGACTCTATACAGGCTATAAGCTCAAGAGTACATACATATCCATGTCATGGCTGGAAGTTAGCATTCCATCCTCCTTCCCACATTCTCCCTGGCTCTTACACTCTTTCTGCCCCTTCCTCATGATGTTCCCTGAGCCCTGGAGGGGTGATGTAGATGTTCCATTTATGGCTGGGTGTTTTACCATCATTCATTCTCACAGTGTTTACCAGCTATGAGTCTCTGTAGTCACTATTACCCTGTTTTTGTTGCAGGAAAGTTTTTTTTTTTCTTCTTCAGTTTACAGACAGCCTTGCGGCACTTGGTTGTCTGGCACTTATTTGTCTTTCAGAGCTTGAAATACGATTCCAAGTCCTGCTGACTTTAAAAGTTTCGCTGAAAATCTGTTGTCTTGATGATCATGCCCTTACCTGACTTGGTGTTTGACTCAGTTGCCTTTCTCTTGCTGTGATAAAACTCCATGACCAAGGCACCTTATAAAGAAAGCACTTAACTGGGTTTACAGTTTCAGAGGGTTACAGTTCATGAGGCAGAGCAAACGCAAGGCAGCAGGGACAACTGAGAGCTCACATACTGACCCACAACCACCAGAAGAGAGTGCACTGCAAAGGCTATGGGCTCTTAACTCAGAGCCCACCCCCAGTAACACACTTCTTCCAACAAGGCCATGCCTTCTAATCCTTCCCCAACGGTTTCACCAGTTGGGGACCAAGCATTCAAATATGTGAGTTTAGGGGGGTCATTGTCATCCAGACACCACAGTGTTTCTTACAGCACTTAATATGTCTTCTGCATTTTTGTTGTTTGAGGTGTAATATGAAATCAGGAGGTTTGGTACCCTAAATGCCTCCTGTATTTGCACGGGCAATCTTTCTCAGGTTTGGGAAATTTTCTGCTATAATTATATTGAATATGTTTCTGTGCCTTTCGTTTAATGCCCATGATTTATAGATTTTTACCTTTTCATTGTGTCCAACAGATACTGGATGTTCTGTTTTTACTTATCATTTTATATTTGTTATGATCTGACTGTTCCAATTCCTCTACCCTGTCATTCTTTAGATCCTGGTATTCTGTTCTCCCCTTTATCCATTCTGTCAATTAAGCTTTCCATAGAACTTTTTGCTTGATTTAATTATGTTTTTCATTTACAGTATTTCAGTTTAGTAGTTTTTTTTTTTAATTCCACTTTCATAGCCTATATTGACATCTTTATCGAATTCAACTCTTTCCATTCTCATGATCCTCCTGCCTCTGCCTCCTTCAGCAGATCCTACCAGCATGCGCCACCACAATTGGCTAAACTCTATATTCTCTTGAGATGCATTCTTCGTTTACATTTGCCCTCTTTGAGGTGTTGACAGTGGAATCTTTGTCTTGAATTCATTGCTTAGGATTTCATCTGATTCGCTCTGTTTTGAGGTCACTAATGTGGACTTAGCATATTTTGGAGGAGTTCTGTTACTTTGGTTCCTCGTGGTTCTGGACTTTTGCAGCATGAGGTTAGTGGCTAGGTTTCTGTTAATTTGCCCTAGTTGAATGGAAGTGCTTGCAGTCTTCAAAAGAGACTAGGCTACATAGTAGGCCAAAGTACCATTTCTCGCCTGTACTAGAGTCAATTCTCAGCATTCACCTTAGAGAAGAATTCCATTTGCAGAAACAGTCACTGTCACTGGGTAGTATGCAGTAATCGAAAACCGTATAGAGTGCTATGTTTACTACCATAGTAGTTACTATGGCAATGAATGGAAAAGAAAAACATTAAGATTGCTGATGTTTTGAGGTGATAGAAAAAGTTAATATTGGGGTGATAGAAAAAAACCAAGGAGGGAAGGTAAGTGGAAGTGGGAAGCAGTAGTAACAAGGTCAGAATGGGGAGGAGGCAGTGTTGACCTAATGTTGAATGAAAAGAGAAAGGTTTAAAAAGGGCAGTTATAACTTAAAACACTCTAGCTTTGAGGAGTCTGAGACAAAGATGGTGCAAACTGTGTCAGCCCATGTTCTTCAAGAAAGCCAATGAAGAGGAAATGAAATAGGAAAGAATAGAGAAAGAAAAAAAAAAAAAAAAGGAATGAAAGAGAGTAGATGAAGGTGAACTGGCCTGCCTAAATGACATTGGGTATTAAATCAAGGTGGAATAAATGTAAAGGATGAGAGCGGTTGGCATGTAGAGTCTGAACGCAATCCTGCCTGCCTGCCTGCTTGCTGGTTCCGGTTTTAGCTCTTTCCATGTTCCTCCTTGGGCTCCCACATGCCTGTCACTCCTATGGGTAGTACTTCAAGAGTCCATTTGGACCTCCATGAGATGGCTAAGTGGGTGAAGTGCTTGCCTTGCAAGCCTGATGACCTGAGTTCTATTCCTTAGCTCACATAGGGCAGGAAGAACTGACTCCACAAATTGTCCTCTAGCCTCAACACACACTGATACACATGTACTTCCCTCTTCACACATCATATACACAGTTGTAAAAAAGGAGGAAAGAAAATCAAAAAGGTTGATAGCTAACCATACTTCTGGGCTCTCTTCCAGTGACTAGATCAACACTTGAAACCTGTGTCTAAGTTCCTCCGCAGATGGGTTGTGATCAGGATCTTTTATTTTGTAGTTAAACTAGAGCTTGGAGCCATTGCCCACTTCTGAATGCTGTCCCTGGTGATTCTCTCGAGAATCTAAAGAACATGTCAGTCATCCACCATTTCCTAAAATCCTCAAGCCTTCCTCTTTATCTTTTATCAGACTTTTGATATGTGAGAATGTCTGCTTTGTGGTCTTTTCTGAATTTGAAGACATTGTGTGTGTGTGTGTGTGTGTGTTTATTTTTGTATGTGTATATACATAAACATATATAAGATGTGTATGTCTGTATGATTGTACATGAATGTTTATGAATGTGGAGACCATAGGTTGATGTCAGGTTTTATTCTCAATTGTTCTCTAGTTTGTTAAAAAATAAATTTGTTTTTGTCTGTTTACTGTGTGTATATCCTGGGGCTTGACCTCAGGTCATCAGGATGCACACACATACACACTAATGAATTAAGTCTTTTTAAGTTTAAAAGAGGAGCTGAGGAGATGGTTTGGTCCATCAAGTGCAAGCATGAGGACCCAGGTCTGATCCCAGCACCCATGTAAAAGCCATGCAAGATAACACAGTCTGCATTTTGTATCACCTTTCATATAATTTTTAAAATTGTATTCATTTATTATGTGTATCTCCTGGGGATTGAACTCCAGTCCTCAGGCATGGTGGCAAATATTTTACCCACTGAGCCATCTTCTTTGTCACCTTCCTTGTTTTCTGAGATAAGGTCTTTCACTGAATATAGAGTGCACTCATTTGGCTAGACTGGCTAACCAATGAACTTCAGGGATTCTCCTGTCTCCTTCTTCCCAGTG